AGGAAGGAAGGAAGGAAGGAAGGAAGGAAGGAAGGAAGGAAGGAAGGAAAAAAACTATGTTCAAGAAAACCACAAGAAGACTAGGCTAAGAACAAAAAATATTTTCAAATACTTTGATGCAGATCATCCAAGCAGTTTTCCTTGTAGAGACCTTTAAAGAGAAATCACAGAGAGCTGGTGGTGATGGAAAAGCCCACTTTGAGCAGTTGTGGCCTGTAAAACTGTTTCTTCTAAGGCTTTGAGTAGCTGAAAGGCTGAAGACAGAACTCATCTTTGCAAGCTGCATCACCATCTTCACTCACATGTTACACCCCAGAAACCCACAAAAAAATACCAAATTTATGGGAACCCTTGAGTAGTACAGTTCTTCTGACGCAGTAGTTGTCACCTTGCACAAGGGACAAAATAAGCTGTAAAAACTACTTAGATAATTTTGTTCTGTAATGTAACCATTGTACTTTAAACTGATTAGCTTCATTTTGTCTTCTAGCAAGTAATTTTTGTTTTTTTCAACACTGGCTAGTTGTAATCTATACAGTATTAATAAAGTAAAAAACTATTAGTTTTCTTTAAAAAGCATCTGATGTTTTGACAATAATATCTGAAAAAAATCCTTTCAACCTTTTAAAAGAGGTCAGCCCCTCCACCCCTTTTCTTTAATGGTTTTAAAGGTAAATAACCCATTTTAAATTGTTGGGCAAGCCATAATTTGTCTAGTTTTTGTCTGTGGCACTCAACCATAAAGCAAAAACTCAGAGATATATAATCTCTGAGGTAATTCAGTCTGAGAGACGGATAATGCTACTTGTTTATAAACTCAGGGGCCCAGTTTTAATTATCCCCCATTCTTTCTTAGTGTTCATTTTTCAAATCAAATAGTCAAGAAGGGCATTAACTTACATATTTTTCTAGCATCATGAAGCTATATGCCCTAAGGTTAAAATAACAGATTGGTGCTAGAATAGCACAAAGAAAGGGAAAAATGCATCTGAGTAGCAATGTCAGTGGAGAACACTAAAAGGGAAGGATCTGATTTAATTTCTGGAAATCTGGATTTTGGTGTTGCTCATGTTTTTCAGTGTTCTGAAACCATTTATATCTGTAAGAGACCTAAGAACATCAGTTAAGCTGGAAGGTGAACTTATTAAGTATTTAATCTCTTTATTAATTATGTATTAATTATTATTTAATAATTAAAAATGATGATGATGATCCTGCTATGTCAGAAAAGGTGTCTTCCTGGCTGTGTCCCAAGGAGGCTGCCCGAGTGAGTACTGTGTGCAACACAACTTGCCAGCGGGCCATCCATTCTCTGGGGAGAAGAAACTGTGGGTGCTTGTTATGGATCTTTTTCTCATTAGTTTTGAAACTGATTTCGAGATAAAGGGCTTTTAAAGGGGAAAGTGTAATTAAAATAATTTGTCACACGTTTCCTACTGTACAGAGAAAAGTCGCATTTACTGAGCAAGAGCACTCCGTGTTGCCAGTTCCTTCTCCAAAATACTAGTTAACACTAACGCAAGAAATACGCATTGGTTAACACTAACACAAGACAGACACAGCAGTAGGGCAGGGAGCAGCGATGCCAGCCTGGCCTCCCGAGTNCTCTCCCGAGGCGCGCTGCGAGAGCCGCCTTCCCTTCCTCTCGCTGCCGTTTGCTCTCGGCGGTCCTTGTGCTCTCCCGCCTTCCTGGACGGCCGTCCGTCCCCTCTGCAGGGATCACCGGCAGCATGGCGAGCTCCTCGAGAACATCCCTGCCTATTTCCAGAAGCAGGACTTGGCTAAACACACGTACACTCCAGTGCCGTGCATCTGCTGGCGGCTGATGGCAGCTGCTGAGGGCGCGTAACCGCGGGGTAAACACGCCGTGCCTCTGCTAGGACTGTCCCTGGCCTCAGCGACTGTCCCAGCTGGACGTGGGATTTTAGGTTTAACAACTCTTCATAGATATTTTTTTCCTCCATAAATTTCCTGACTTTGTTTTTAGGTACAGTAAGGATTTAATATTTGTAATGTGCCGTGAGTGTCACAACGTGTTTCTATGTTCGAAGTGTTTCTATAAATTTCATTAATTCTATTTTAAAAGCGATGGGGAGTAGTGAGCCATTTTTCCTGGTAATTTGCTCACTTTACATCTGTGAATGCCAGACAACCGCAAGATGCATTAGAAAGGTTAAGTACCAACAACTGTCCAAATAAGTTTCAACCAGTTGTGTGTACAAATGGAGCTTGTGGTGTTTCAGGATGTATGTGAAAACTAAAACAGGGACCTGCTTTTTCACAGCAGGTCAGTTTGGGAAAAATCAGACTGGAGGCCTTGACTGTAACATAAACACAACTCTCAGTGAGGAGAGCTTATTTGAATTGCCTGCTTAGAGAAGCTTGTTAGAAAGTTTCATATACGGCATGACAGTTCACATGAACAACCAACCACTCAAAATTTTTTTTCACCTAAAATTAAATGTCTGAGTATTGTGTACAGGTAATGAATTAGTGGTGTAATTGGGTAGGTTTTCATCTTGCTATTTCCTATTTTTTATGCAAATAGTTGTGGAGTCAGCAAATGATTTTCCACCATTGAGTCACTTGTTTCTCATAAGACAAATGTGTATAAGTAGTACCTCTTCATAGACATCAGTGTATGAATTTTTATTCCTGTTTTGTTTACTTTGCCATTTAACACAGTTCTGGCTGGCATTAAATGATGCAGCTGAATTCACATAGTTTCCTTTGGCTGCAGACACAGAAGGGAAGGAAGGGAAGGGAAGG